CTCGACAACTTATTTTTGTTTAACTCGGTCTCGATGGTCCCGACCCGTGAGGCTAGCTGGCCTACTTGTGTCTCAAGACGCTTGATTGATGCATCTTGGTTCGTGATGAACTGAAGGACCTTGTCCAGTTTGTCATCCTGGTTTGACGAGCTTGGTCCGGCCCGTTGGCTTTGCTGTTGTGGTTGCTGTTGTTGTTGGTAGTTAGGACGGGGAATGAAATTGGGTTGAGGTTGCTGTTGCATGAAGTTTGGACGGGGTGGCTGGAGGGTGTTGCTGTTGTTGGACCACGAGAAGTGTGGGTGGTTTCTCCACACGGGGTTGTATGTGTTGGAGAAAGGGTCGTTGGCTTGCCGGTTCTGATATCCTTGGAGAGCATTGGCATCGGCATATTGTTCCCCGAAATCCTGATCGATTCCTGATGGGCACACCTCTGACTTGTGCCCTTAAACTCCACACGCCCCGCATGTATCCACCGTCATGGTTTGAACTGGCTGAATTGTTCGAGCATTCAGCAGTCGCATTTGTTCCGTAAGCTCGGCTATCAGATGGGCCATCATGTCTCGTCCAGAAGATACCTCATTAACCACGGCTCTCTTTCCTCGACTGCTCTTTTGAGACGAATTGGAACTCATCGCCTCAAAGATATCCATCATCTCTTCTGCCGTTCTTTCCCCGATATTTCCCCACCAGCTGCGTTAACCACCATGTACTGAAGGTTCTGGTGGAGAGAATCATAGAAGCTGTTCATCAAAAGGGCCGGTGGGAAACTATGGTCTGGACACTGTCTCTGTAGGTCCTTGAAGCGTTCCCACGCCTCGTGAAGTGGCTCGCGCAGTTGTTGGGCAAAAGAGACGATTTGTGATCGCAGCTCTTGAGTCTTTTGGTGGGAGTAATACCTCCCGATGAACTTCGTGTACACTTGCTCCCAAGTGGTAAGAGAGTCTGGAGCAAGTGTCATAAACCAAGCCTTAGCCCGGTCCTTTAGAGTCTCTCGGAAGTATCTCATCTTCAACTGATCCTCATTCAGCCCGTAGAGTGGAAAGGTTTGGAGCACATTATAGAACTCCCGTATAAAGTGGAGCGGGTCTTCATTAGGTAGGTCATGGAAAGATGGAAGTTGGTTGTAGTGGATCATTTTGAGCTCGTAGTTTCGAGTTGCTGTCCCCAGCCGGATGCAAGAAGTCATTGGCCCAATCACCGGTTGAGCCAAATCGCGAAGAATAGACCTAAGAGGATTATTAACTTTCTCATCTTGCTCGTTCTGTGCCATGTCGGTTTGGTTTTTTTATGCAGATGATTCTGGTGCAAGACTAGCTAACAAGTCTCGTAGGTCTTGCCGGATGGATTCGTTGTTTGGGATGATTACACAACCATTTCTGGTACGTATAAACACAAACAAAAAAAATGTCATGGGCATCAGATAAACGACAAAGAGAACGAAGGAAAATCAAAACAAAGAAAGCACTAACACTAGGCAAAGAAACCAAACAAAAGAAACACAAAAACAAGAAATCACAGAAAATAAGAGAAACACTGAAAATAAAATGAATAGGCGCACAAAATAAGTCCTAAACCTTCCCCGGCAACGGCGCCAATTTGTTGTAAGTATTTTTACCGGAGTACAATCGAAAGATTCAAACACCGGGTCGTATCTCATGGAAGGTTGACCGAATTATTTTGCACGTATATTCGATCACACGAAAAGAGAAAACAAGTCCTAAACACTCTAATTCGATTGTTTTGAATTTCAACTAACAGCTAATAATTCACAGACTAGTAATTCGAAAATTCAATAGCAAACAAATAAACTTGATTATAAAGAGTTACGGAGTCAGGGACAATCGTTTTCGGTTCTTGACTCAATTACCAGGCAATCGTTTGCTCGGGTAAAGGGTTTGAGTCGCCTACTCGTATGGAGGTTCACCTTCAATAACTCTTCGTAACAAGAAGGTGGGCATAAACGAGCAACTTATCAAACCCAACAACACATAGACAATACAATAACGAACAAGTCTATTCCAAACGAGCCTAAATCGACCAACGTCTCCCCTCTCGGTTCTCAACGTCAATTAATTAGGTTAGAATGGTGATCAACCAACTAACCCTAGAATACGCACAACTCGCATAGATTGAGCAATTATCAAGCACATAATCGAAAATGAACCGAAACAATCATCCACTATCCCTAACTTATGAAATTAACCACTCATTGCAATTTCAATACAAGAATTCACAATCAAACAAGCCATCATATCTATTCACAAAATGAAAAGAAATGCTTACGATTATTATCAAATCCAATGTCGAAAGAACAACCAGCAAACTGAATCCAAAAGCTAGAAAAAAGAGTTCTCTTCTCTCCAAATCCAAAACAAATGCAAATCCAAGAGAGAAAATCTGTTTTTCTAGAGAGAAAAGTCAAAAATACAAAGTCTGGAATGTATACAAATTACCCTAGGCTCGATCCTATACATCCCAAATTTGAAATCACGAGAAAATCGCGGTTGTTACAAAATAGGTCATAGCGGCGCTAACCCCTTAGCGTCGCTAAGGGTAAATAAGCTCGATCGTTTGCCCATCGCTTTGGTGTTGAGCCGCTTTCTCAACTGGCCATAGCGGCGCTATGGCCTGGACTGCTCCAAAAATTCGACGACTTAGGCTCACGTGCTCTCGGCTAGCGTCCCTCGGGCCTTCCCGAGCTACAAACTCAATTCTCGAATGCTCTAGTCTCACAAACCGACGTAGGACTCCTGGGAACCTGAAAACACCACCATCGAACACACACAAAAGTAAGAGAAAATAGAAGAAATAACAACGAAAATACTAAACACAATAAATAATACAAAAACTCAAGAATGACTAAAAAGGACCAGAAAACCCTAAGAAATAACATACAATTGGGGAAACGACACACAAAATAATGACAAAAATAACCACAAAAGGGACAAACAATATGCCACAAACATATAACTTATTTTATTCATGTTACTAATGTAAACATTGCATGGTTAAAATCCCTCCCTATATATTAATTCAAAATGTGTTGAGTCTAGGTGACAGATTCTCACGCTTCGTATGCTGACATGGCGAAAATCTATGCTTCGTGATGTTGTTTTTATATTATTTTTACTTTGGAGTTAGGTTTGGTATTAAATATAAACTAGTCCTTTTACCTTTGTGCACTGGCTTACGACCGCTAGTCTTAGAAGGTGAGATTCATCTTGATAGCTTGTTTACCGCTCTCTTCTATAAGTATACCCTCCATGGTTCAACATCGTCTCTGATGCTAGTGATCGTACCCGTCTCCCGGGTAGCAAGCTACTAATACCCATGTACAACATGAGTGTTGAGTTAATGAATATATGTGTAAAGTTATTTATGCCTAATACCAAACCTAACTCCAGAGCAAAAATAATATAGACAATATTACGAAGCATAGATTTTCGCCATGTCATCATCTGAAGCGTGAGAATCTTCCACCTAGGCTCAACACGTTTTGAATTAATATATAGGGAGGGATAACTTTACACATATATTCATTAACTCAACATCCATGTTGTACATGGGTATTAGTACTAGTAAAATTTAAATCTCAATTGATTTTGGATGATAAAAATAATTTAAGAAAAAGTAATAATTTTTATATGATATAAGTACATATCTAATTAATAAATACAACAAAAAACGTGTTTTATATCTGTGCAAATGCACATGATCAAATACTAGTTATATTATATAACATAATAATTTATAAGTTCTAATATAATTTATAAAAATTAACATAATTTATATAATAAATAAATATTTGATTAGTAAAAAAAATGCGTGGCCCACCGGCGATTGAGGCCGACCAAGTGGTTGGCCGGCCGGCGATTGCGGCCAACCATGTGGTCGGCCTACCGGTGATTGCGGCCGACCATGTGATCGGCCAGGCAAGACGGTCGACCGCCACCGTGTCGCACAATTTTTTTTTTCTTTTCGTTTTAGAAAAAATATCAAGGGCAAAAATGTCCACCAGTGCGTGGTGATAAATGGCGATGTAACCACACAATTTATTTCGCCGGTCCGGCACTATTAAGTTTGGACATTTCCAAGTTCCACCCAGCAGGCAGAAATAGGAATTGACCTGGCAAGGGTTGAATCCACGTGGCATAATTTTATTGGAAAAAGTCGTTAAACCCTGACACGTGGTCGTTATCTAGTGGATCAGAGCCGTAGTGGTAAAACCCAACACTCACAGACAGAACTACCCCTCAAATGCATGAAATCCTAGAGATTCTCCGCCGTGGACTCTCAACAAAATCAATTGCTCTTCACATCCCCCAATCTGAAAAACCCTAGCCATATTCTTCTCGTAATTCTTCTGATCTCATCTTTTACTCTTCGATTATTCAATTCATTGATTAACTTATGCGGACTCGATGATCTATTTGTTTTTTCTTTCTTCAGTAGCTGAACTGTGATCGTTAATTGTTTATTCAGTGCTTGCGAATCTGTGATT